GCTGAAAGAGTTAACAAGACAAATTATTCTCTTCTATCCCTGTTATTACATGCTGTGAAATTCACTTCAAAATCACAACTATAAAAGGTGGTTACCACAGTTGTATCCTGAGCGTTAAATAATTGTTTTCTTTTAATGAAAGTCCACACAGGCAGGTTCAATTACTTTAGATTTCCCTTTGATAAGACAACTTATTCTTCTTTATCTCTACTGCTACGATACAAACTGTGAAACTCACTTTAGAAATTGTCCACAAGGGCAAAACTGACAATCACACAGTCTAACTTCACTTTTACTTTCACTAATTTACTTTCTTACTTGCATTTTGTATTTGCACATATTTACAACACTGAAAGAAAAAATCTAGCCCTCTAGTAACAATAATATTAAAAATAATGAGATAAACTTAGAAACTTTGAGTAGGATGACATCAACAATATTACAAAAGCCTAGTAAAACAAACTGCATACACAATGTACAACTTAGAGATTTCCGTAACAAAACTTGTCACAACTACTGCTTTTAAAATAATTAACTTTTAACACTTGTTATAAAGACTAAATAATCATTAAATATTAAATCACTACATAATAACTCTTAAACTGAACAGTCTCATATGTCCAACTTTCCTGTACTCCATTAGAAGGAAAAGGGTGAAAGCATGTTGGGGAGCCTGGAGGAAAGCAACACTTTAAGACAGGGCAATGTATGACCATGAAACCATATTTTTAAAAGCAGGCCAGTCTCATTTTATTCCATTAGAGTCAGAGGGATTGGCAGCTATCTCAACACTGCTTTACTCGTGATTGTCAATGAGTAGGTATGGTTTGGATCAAGCCTTGTTTAGCAAATAAGATACGGTGAGGAAAGTTCTAGTAGTCTTGTGGAACACCTCATATCATCAGTGAGCACTACATACCCAAGGCTCACATGGTGCTGATTTATATACAAGTATACCTTGGCAGGCACCACATACCAATTAGTGGGATCCTGAGACATAGGAAAGGGGCACTGTAAAGGGAAGAGTGAAAAGAAAAATAACTTATCAAGTCAGAGCTAGTAAGGTGTATTATGTAGAATGGTGGCAGGAGGAAGTCTATATACCAAAGAAGAAGAGATGGCGAGATGTTGAAGATAATGTGCAACAAAAGCATGTGAGGTAGTCCACATCATTCCAGCCTGCACGATCTTTTCCAATAGATGATGAAAGTGAGAAACCACACAGAAAGTAAGGTGTAGAAGTTGGTGAAAGATGACCTGAATCTACATCCAAAGAAGAATAGACTAAATGGAGGAGCCATTCTGTGAGAGTAATTGGAGGTATATCTTGGATAGATGAAAAATTCCAAGGAATAAATATTAAATAGACAGGAGTGTGAACAGTGAATAGGAGCAATGTGGGCTAAATAACATAAAAAAACAGACAGGACAGAGAAGACAATCAAGATTAGAATGAGAATAAAAGTGAGAAATGGGTGGAAGGGAAGTAGGAATGAATGTGCTGTACCCTTCATGAGCTGCAGATAAATTGGGAGAAACACATGGCCAGGATAAAGAAGAATATAAGAATGATGGAAAAGAATACAGGAAGTATCAATGGCATACACATCTGATCTCCTATGGCCAAAGACAAAAACAAGTAAGAAATAGGTTTTAAGTGAAAGATGGTACAAGGAACAAGAGGCTAAAGGCTCACAGAGCCCACATGTGAAGATGGAGTAACAACACTGTCAAATGGAAGGAGGAGGAGTGAGGTTGAGGGAGTATTACAGAGGTAGAGAAGACTGGAGAAGGTTCAATAGAGAAAACCACAGTTGAGCCAGTCAGTATGAAGCTATCAGGAAGACATGACATGGAGTGTCCTGAATAAGAAAGCACAGAAGGAAGAAGACGAATAGGAGGGTAGATATAAAGAAAAATGTTGGATCACTCCTAATTGAATGCATCCACAGCTAGAGCTAAGGGATGAGGATAGAGGACCAGAAAAGGGGAAGTTTGATGTTGAGATGAGTGGCAAAAGAATCTAGAAGAGGAGTGTCCAGACAAGAGCACAGCCACTTGAACAGCAGAGAATCGAGGGACTACTCCATAGGTAGTATCTGGTTGGGACTTGAAAGACAATCTGTGACAAGATTCAGAGCACCTGGAATATGACAAGCAATGAGATGTACTGGTAAAGAATGAGCCCATGGTAAAGAAAAGGAGGTCAAGAGTGTGGAATCAGAGAGAGTGAGACTGGGTGCCCCCCTGGCAATTGATACAAGAGACAACTGTAGAGTTGTCTGTATGGATCAGCACTAGATGTCAACGAACCATTATAGGAAATTGTGATAATCTTCAATGTACTGACAAAAGTTCTAAGAGATTGATAATGAAGGGACAATTTGTCATTGGGCCACCAACCCAAAATCTCTTGAGAGTCGAGATATGCCCTACCCCATCAAGGACACATCTGTAAACAGATGGAGAACTGGATGAGAATGAAGAAGAGGAACACTCTTTATGGTATTGGCTTTATTAAACCACCAGGAGAAGTCAATGAGCAAGGAAGGTGAAAGGTGAATGGTGGAGGACAAGGGATCCTGACTGATGTTACACTGATCATGCAGAGTCCACTAAAGATGACGTATATAAGCATGACACAAAGGGCTAAAGGATTCTATAGAAGCCCAAGTCCGCAAAAGAGAGAGAACCTCTCATGCAATGAGAGAAGGAGAGAAAATAATTGCTTGATGTCCCTGAAGAGGAAAAAGCTGGGCCCTTCTGAGATATGAATTGAAAAATACACCCAAATGAATAATATATTAAGTAGGTGTGAGATGTGACTTCTCTAGTTTGACCAACCAACCCAGATGCATGGACTCTTGAAGGAGGGAGGAGAAGAGTATGGTAGTAGGAGGCTTGTTGGAATGGAGCCAAAAGAAGCCAGTTGTCCATATAATGGTGAAATTTCAATCATGAGCCATGAATGTGACGAGCAAAAGCTTTGGCTACCTGACAAAAAACATACAGAGCTGAAGCTAGGATGAAAAGGAAAGCACAGAATTGAAACTCGAGACCCCAATGAAAAAAACTGAAGGTAACATGTGGAAGCAAGAAAGTGAAGGTAACATGTAGAAGCAAGAAAGTGAAGGTATACATCCAAGGCACCCACTTTAGTCATCCAAAGACCTGGAGTGAAGGACCCATCTGAGAATGAGAAATATCTCCATGGTCAGTGAAGTGATTTAGTTTCGAACGATCCTTAACTGGATGCCAATCCACTATTTTCTTGGGAATGATGAACAGAATAAAATCGTGGAGAAATAGAAGGAAAATCCAATCAATAGTATCTTTCACTAAGAGGTCCAACACTGCCTCGTAAAGACACTGGCAACAAACCAAATCCCCTGGAGGGGAGAAAGAAATGGAAATGGGAGAAAAAGGAAAAGGAGAGGAAAAACGAAGAGTCAAGTCTTCTGATAACACCCAAAGGACCTAACAATCAGTTGCAAAAAGGTCTGCAAACCGAGCCAACCATGCTCCATTGTACTCGAACCTAATGGATAGTCACTGTTAATACTGATGGTGCTGAACTTGATGGTTAGAGTAATGATGGATTGAAGCAGAAACACAGAAAGGGGGGGAACAGGGATAGGAGAGGATACAGATATTGGTGCAGGAGGGGCATGAAAAATATGGGAAACCAGAGAAGAAATGGAAGAGTGTTGTCATGCAGCCTCCATACGAAATTCCAGAGTATCCAGGACTCCCCAAAAACAGTGACAGAGGAAAGGAGCCAGACAATGGTCTCAGAGATAAGAAGCAGGTCAACACATCAGAGAATGTAGGGTGTTTTTGTCTAATGAGTCCCAACAACAAAGCAACCATGTATGGAGAGAAAAAGCAATAGATAAATGGGCCAACATAGAAAAGACAAAATAACAAGTGTCTACTGAAAATCCCTCGGGTGAATGGAGTACAGCCTTGGAAAGAAGGTGGTTAGAGAAAAGATGGCTGAAAAGAGTAGTAAGCATGAGATGACATGAGAATTGGGCTGGTGAAAGACGAAGAGGAGATAAACAATCTGACCCTAAAGCCTGAATAACAACTCCAAAATCTGGGAGTCCAGAATGGAAAACTCAGCCCTATTACAGGCTAAGGCTTGTGTATCCACCAGGTGAGAAGGACAAGGCATGCTGGTCCCAGCATGAAAGTGAGATTCAATTCAGCTTGAATGCAGAAGGGGAAAAATCATAAGACACAGGAAAAATAGACAAAAGGTAACAAATCTGAGAAATCATATCCAAGAAGGAAGAGGAAGGTCTAGAAAGATCAATGGCAGATTGTTTAGAGAAGGTGCAGCCAATGCAGTTGGAGGAAAAAGGCTGTCAAAATCATCATCCTCATGAAATGGTTCCACAGATAAGGGAATACCCGTCACTGGGTCAGAAGAAGGATCAGACCTCATGTAGGACTCTAACTCTTGATGCACTATGACTGACACCTCCTCAACAGATAGAGGAGCTTGACACCATAGTCGTTACTTGTATAGCTTTAATAAGATCTTGTGGATCAACACCAGACAAAGTTGTAGTAACATGTACTTCTGAGTTCATAATGTGGAAAGGAAGGAAAAGTAACCAAGATAATCTTTCAAAAACTAGTTAAAGGCAACAAAAAAATGTTGTAAAACATTTTAACCACATACGAGTGAAAAACACTTGTTCTAAGTCAAGAAGTGATGATTAAACAACCAGTATAGAGGGAGTCAGTTGCACCAGGAAGGTGTGTTGCATTCCTATTGGAGGAAGGTTGTTGCATACTACAGCACAGCAATAGCACATGGGAACATGCAAGTTTAGGTAGGAGTCTCAAGACTAGTGGCGAACGAAAAATTTTGCATACAGAGGGCAGCACAAAATCAGGAAATGCTAGTTTCTGAGCAGAGTTACCTGGAATATTGGAATATCTTAGTAAAACAGTTGCTTAGTAAACATAAAAGTCAATGCACAATATACCTGTTTAAGATGCGTCCAGTTGGAGTAGTATCAAAAAAAGACATTGGAGCTTGGAAGGTTCTTTCTACCATTCTATTGTGCAGGTCACGAGAAGCTTGCACAGCACCAACTGCCAGGAACATACCACCACAGAGAACAGAAACTCCTAAATTAATAAATAATATTACAATTTTTACTATCGAATATTAAAATAATGGAAACAAACCTTGAAATACTCAGGAAATGGAAATAAAAAATACATGAGTGCTCTAAACTTACAATTTTCTCACTTATCATTTATATCGTAGCATAACAAAAAAATTAGGGGCAAAAAGAGAGCTTTTGTTCTATCTAAGCTGTCTAATCCACTGAAGGAACCTAAACAAAAAAACAAACAACAAATTTCAAAGCCACAGATTATCATTCAAATATTAAATAAGCCATCCTTAAACTCCCTTACATTTATTGCATCTGCCACATCTGAATACAAATCATTCCAAGTCAGGGTCAACCACTCTGTTAGAAAATAAAGCTGTCTTAGCTAAAGACAACTTCCACCATACCAAAACTTGCATTTGCTTCCCCTAGTCCTACCATTCTCACCACTAAGTATGAAACATTATGATGCATCAGTATTATCAATTCCCTCAAAAGTCTTAATCACCTCAATCAGATCCCTCTAAGTTTTCTTTTTTTCACAAGAAAACAATTTCAGAGAAAATTATGGGTTTTTGAGTCCTATTCAACTCACCATACAGAAACATAAATTGATTCAGGTGTATGGATAATATTAAGGCATTAAGCCTAATTTATTATTCAAACATGCTCGCTCTTTCAACCGTGGGGGTGTTATAATGTGACGGTCAATCCCACTATTCATTGGTAAAAGAGTAGCCCAAGAGTTGGTGGTGGGTGGTGATGACTAGCTGCCTTCCCTCTAGTCTTACACTGCTAAATTAGGGATGGCTAGTGCAGATAGCCCTCATGTAGCTTTGCGAGAAATTCAAAACAAACAAACAAGTTATTATTCAATATTATACAGTGGACCAACTGTAATGATCATATTACAGGTTTTGTTTTCTTTTCACAACAGGTAAAAGTGAAAAGAGATCTGTAATATAATAATTTGGGATCTTAGCCTGTCCTCATATTACCCTAGTAGCCCTCTTTTGAATCATTTTCAATAATTCAATGTCCTTTCTAAGGTAAGGAGCCCAAGACTAAACACAATACTTCAAATTAGGCCTAACCAGTGACCCATAGAATGAACCTATTGCCTATTTAGAATAATATTCAATATTTCTAAATAGTTCTCTTTTTCTTGTCAAAAGTCTACTTAGGCTGATTCAATTACTTTATAATCCAATTGACAAGACAAACTAGTTTTCTCTACTTTTATATAACTGTCTCCTTTTCATCAAAGTCCACACAGGCAGGTTCAATTACTTTAGAACAAACACTCTTTGACAAGACAATTATTTTCCTTATCTCTATTTAAACTGTGAAAACTCACTTTAAAATATCACCCATTATGGCAAATCACTCACATGCCAGCGAACTTCATGTTTTCTAACTTTTTCTCTGACTGAACTTTTCTGTCACTTCACTTTCACTCATTTGGTCGCTGCTATTTATATGTTGATCACCGAGGCTTCTGAAATTTTCTTTAAACTACATGACGCGATGATTTAACAATACTCGGTTAAGGTAACGAGAAAAATACTGAAGATTAGAGTAACGTGAAGTCAACAATATTAGTTATGCCTCGATAACATATGACTCATACAGAGTTACACATCCAAACTTGTCATACTATCACCTCTAAAATTATTAACTTTTAACTCTTTAATTATTAAAAACTAAACAATCATTAAAAATTAAGTCCCAAAAAAATTAAATAATAATAATGCCTACACTAAACAGTCTTGTATATCCAACACTCAACCATTTCTATATTAGAAGTTAATTATGAATTTAAAATAACAGTTCCTATTAATTTCATTGAACAATAGGTGAAGAAAACCATCCTCATGATATGACAAACACGTCCCAATATGTTTATGCCAGAAATTAATATTCTCCATAATTACGACCTCATTAAAAGCTGAAATTTTAATTTTCAATCTCATTGAAAAGTTTCTCATTAATTCCACCAGTTTCATATGATAGTTTGTATTGAAATACAACCAAAAATGTTCTTCCCAAATAATATTCAATCTCAATATCTTTGATATCCTCAATTTGAACAAGATGTAGCTCACACTTTACATATAAAACCACTCCCCCTCTTTTTTTTGTACTCTATCTTTATTAAGTAACCTATAATCCTGTATTTCAAAGAAATTTTAGTTATTGAGATCTCTATATTTAACCAAGTTGTAGCTGTATCCATTAAATCAAAACACGCTATGCTGACCTGTGCTCTAAAATCATCTATTATATTTCTTATACTTCTAGTATTACTATAGTAACAATTTAGCCTATCCTTAACACTATTTCTATACATTGTTCCTAAATACACTTTGCTACATCTTATTCTTTCTATTTTAAATTTATTTTGGCTCCCTCCACTGTCTAGTCCTAGTTTAAAGCTGCCCTTTCAGATGAATTAATAGCCCTTGCAAACAAGCCAGCCTCTACACAATTAAAATGTAAACTCTCCATTTCAGAAAGCTTCCTTTCCCCATCAAACTGATCCCACAAGTCCAAACATCTAACCTGCTCTTTTTGACTTACTAATCTAAGCCTAGCATTCAGCCTTAGTTACCTGCTTATAAACTCAATCCCACACTTAAGTTTTGGCAGTATGTCTAATAGAATTAAGTTATGTCCCTTTTCTTTAAATGGCTTTATCAACCCCATATACTTATCAGTTAGCTCCTCTGAGCTACTCTTTCCTACATCCTTAGTCCCTGTATGCATAACAAAGACTGCATCACTGTTAGGACAATTTAATATATCACTTGCTCAATTAGTTATGATATAAAAGAAGTGAAATATGTACCTAGATCAATCCTACTGGACTAATGTAAAGTCTAACTTCTTGATTCTAGAAAATCTAAATTAAATGGATAATATCTATTGCTTTACAAAAATAATGATGGCATTTATACCTACGGGAATAACAAACTTATATAAAGTAATTATTTTTTTTACAGAACTCTATAGACATGTAGTTATATGTATTTATAACAGATACAAGGGAATACAACTGACTAACAATGCAGTCATCAAGCTAACTGCATCTAACATTTTAGAGTTTTATGCATGAAGAAACTACATTAAAGTCCAGCTATCCCTTATTCTGGCTGATATATTGTTTGCATGCAATGTAATTTTATCATACTTTTGCAAATATATTACAAAGATTGTTCAATAGAACTTTATATAGAAGTTATGGTGCATATAATATATGATTAGAAATAAATTGTTTTTTTTTAACGAGCAGTCCAGAACATCTTTTCTGATATGTTTTGTGAACAATAATGCACATTTAATAGAAATGTTACATTTTGATAATATCTCTTATTAATTCTCTTTGTTTCTAAGGCGTAAATGAGAATTGTCTCACATTTTCATTCATTTTCAGTATCTTTAAACATAATTTTTGAAATAACATGATTAAGAAGATAAGTCTGGTGATTTTTAAGATTTATTTATATAAGCATGTTTGGAAATACAAAACTAGTTATTGCTATTCAAAACTACAAATCATTTTCAGTGAAACCTGCAAATTCTGGGTCAGAATCACTGCTCTCGAATATCCGTCACAGCCTTTCTACCATCTCTTCATAACTGTTACTGGCATCATTGCAGACATATTCTTCATATTCGTTATCTACCATAGTAGCATCATCATCCCAGAGGATATCATCTTCTGAACTATATATGGCATTTGTGAGGCAACACTTCTTAAAGACAAACAGAATCAGGGCCAGATCAATGGCATATCAGGCTTTTTTGATCCATTGGGCAATGAGAAGGGAGAAAGTGTTTAAGAACAAACTACATGTACCCCATTGTAGCAGAGGACCATGACTAATAAACACCAGCTGTAAATGGATTTTTGAGAATGTATATTTGCTGGCCATAATTGCAAGTATTGCAAACACTAAGACAAACTTGCTTTTAGTGATTTTAAGGATACTCTAATATTTTGACAATATTTATTTCCAACCGCAATTGCAAATTTAGCAAACACTACAGCAAACATGCAATTAAAGATGATACAAACACTACCATTCTTATCATTAAAGGGTTACAATGACCACAGTATTGCAAAAGTCTAGGTGCGTATTATTTATGGTAATAAGACAAATTTGATTCTTTGTTCATGAAGATTAGAGTGTGTATTATATTTGGGAGGGTGTTATATTCAGAAAAGTGTGGTAGATCATTTGTACATAAATTACTTTTTGTGAAGGAGTTAACATCATTGCAGACATATTCTTCATATTCGTTATCTACCATAGTAGCATCATCATCCCAGAGGATGTCATCTTCTGAACTATATATGGCATTTGTGAGGCAACACTTCTTAAAGACAAACAGAATCAGGGCCAGATCAATGGCATATCTATTGTATTCTTTTGCATTGTATAAATTTGTTGATTATTTGTGTAAGTATGCTCAAACATTTGGTTAGTATATTTGATTGTTTTATTGTGGTTTGTTATTACTCTTTATTTAAACACAACATATTATCTTAATTTAAATATATATTAGCTATTAAAATTAGAAATTTAAAAGAATTAGAATTCTCAAAGTTCAGATATTATGATTAATTTCTAAATATATGAAAGACTACGTTTAATTTGAAAGTATAATAACTTAAAAATGAATCATTAATTTGATATATAAAATCAAGTTTAAAGCTGTCACTCATGTGCAATTTGAAAGACAACATTAAAGTTCAAATACAAATGAATTATGATTATAATACAAGCTTAGAGTACCAAGAGATAGAACACTTACAGTAGTTAGACTACACTAAATTATTAATTGAGAAACTTATTTTTGACAGTATTTTCACATACATGTAGCATTTTTGATTACCAGTGATAAAAAAATGCTAAGTCACAATTTTGTATATTTTTAAAAAAGAAGTTAAAGTTGTTCTTAAGAGCTCTAGTTAATTCAATAAGTTTAGAGTTTGTGTAAACATTATCAGGAAGATTCCCAAGACAAATTTAGTTCTGCATTTATATTTATTTATTTAATTGATTGTTTGTTTGTTTGGAATTAAGCACAAAGCTACACAATGGGCTATCAGTGCTCTGCCCATCATGGGTATCAAAACATGGTTTCTAGCATTGTAAGTTTAATTGAAGTAAGCCTTTGTTTAGCAGCTCTTTTCAATACCTGAAATAATGTAGAAATATATTCAGTCCATTATTATACTGACTTCAAGAAATGTATTCAAGTTAGTGTATATTTAAATTAATTTAATGTTAAATTAAAGGACAAGTAGAAACCTGTTCATTCAACCCAGTCTTTTTGATGAAAAATATATTTTGATAATTGATTTCTATTCTGTCTATAATTTGGAAATTACATTAAGAGGTAGAGTCTTAATTCTTTGTTTTGTTTGTGATGTATGTCAGGATTAATTACAGTGTAGCATTCATAATTAGTGAAACTTGTAGGCTATATAAAGGAGCTGGTTATTTATGGCATTTCAGAAATCCTAGTTTAAAGTATAGCAGTCTCACTACGATGCAAATCGCTATAGCATGGGTCTTGGTATAATGTGGATCTCTCATAGACCCCAACATTCCAGGCCTAGCTAAAAGTTAATCAATCAATATGAATTGAGTGTTTAATAGACTGATAATAACAAGTTTGTGAAGTTGAATAAAGATCTTACATATGCAAGCACTAGAAAATGTATGTTACACAAATATTTCTGTAGAATCTCATATACCTTGAGCTGCTCCTAGCAAACCATAAATAGTCAGTCTCCAATTTTGGAGTGCTATGTTCTGAGTTCCATCTGGCATGGGTTCATCAGTACTCCAAGCACTCAACCAAAGGTTTGCTCCAACCTAAAAATATAAAGCAGATTTGAAAATACTATTAATATTTTCAACTTGCAAAGTATGTACTGCAACATGTGGACTAAACAGTCCCTAAGGCTCAGGCATAATCAACTATAATTTAGAACTGCTGAACACAGGAAGATAAAAAAATCAGCAATACCCACTGTTGATTATGCAACTACTCTTAATGAAATAGTGGGATTGACTGTCATATTACAACATCCCTGAAAATCCAGAAAGCATTCAGTGGCTTATTACAGCGTAAATCTTGAATCTTCCAATTTACAGACCAGCATGGTAACCTGGCTTTTCGAAAATGTAATCAAATTAATTAAAACTGTATAGAATTTGTGTGAGAAAAAGCAAAATAAGGTCAAAGTTAATTCTGTACCATTCTCATTATACCTATAAAATTCATATGAGCACAGTTTAGTAGTTGTTGTTCATGGGCTAAGTCTGCAATAAAACATGAGGCTGGTTAGAAGCAAAATAGCATACAAGATTTTAATTTTAAATGTATTTTCCTTGGGTAAGTAGTATTTAAAATAGAGTACACATACAGTGTATGTTAAAAAGTACACAACCTATCAACAAATGTACATGAATATGTTTACAAGTAAATAACACACCAGATTATGTATACCTCAGGTGCAAAGAGCATCAGTAAATCAAGATATAGGTGTAAAGCATTTCAAGTAATATACGTATAATATCCACAGGTATATAGCATTTGAGATAATATACAATCAATGTAGGCTTACAGGTACAGAGCATTATACCAGTTTATATGTAAAGGAATACAGCATATCAGATAAAATTCAAGTATACCTCTACAGTTACATAGCATGTAAGGTAATATACATTTATAAGTGCAAACCATCTCAAGTACTGTACACGTAATATGTACACATATACATAGACAATGCACCCAACCAAGATGAAACATATTAGTTTATTAAATTCTATCATGCCTCACAAAGTATACGTGCATTTATCATTCAAAATATACTTTATGTTTACTGAATGCATATACAAGTTTGATTCAAAATTAGGTCTTAAATGTAATTGTAAAGGGAATCTATTTTTCTTTTTATTACACAATCATATCTGTGGGAGACCTCTCCAATAATTACAAACATAAACTGATTTTCAATAACCAGTAAAAAAGCTTTTCAGTTTTGTACTATTTATTGTACTCCATCGATAAACCAAAAAACAGAAGGCAATTTTTCATTAAGATACTGAAGATCATTTTATGACAAATTTCTATAATATTATAAGCTACTAATTCAGCTGTCCAAAAATTTAATTTTCATATTTCCCTATTCGTTATAAAAACAAGAGAGTAGTTTGATAATTTGCATCATATGTTACTAATAATTATAGATATCATTTTTCAACTATATATATTGGTAAAACTACTTTTATACATGTCCATTCAAATATTTTAATGATAAGCATTTCAGAAACTCGTGCATTTTTCTTTTGCTGATCATGAGTTAAAAGTTTAGGAGGATTTCTTTTTCAAATTAGGAGTGAAAGAAACATTATAAATGACAATTTTTATTTTTACAAAATTGAAGAGTTTTAAAACAGTGAAATAGATTTGGTTAAAATCAATTTGATATATGTATCAGTTATTAATTAACAACAATTTATAAAAAATAACCAATATCTGCATCATTCAGTCTGTGCATTTCTATAATATTCATCATCTATTTAAACACTAACTGTATTTAACCAAGGATACACCACTCATTTGGGTCAAACAAGTGAAGCAATAAATGTTAATTAGCTTCATATTTCTTCTGAATTCTTAAACAGCATCATATATGCTTTACTGGTCCTCTAAATTACAATTCAAGTTATTTTGTGACAACTGTTATAATTTTGTTTAGAAGAAAAATACTGTTTTGAATGAGTTTTCTAGAATTTGTATGATACAGAATATACAGCTTCAACTATTTCTATCATAAGCCTATTTCTTTGTTTGTTTGCCAATTTAAGACCATACTTGTTTTCAAGCTCTATTTGAATTCAAAAAAGGTTCTGGATGCTAACAAACTTCCATAACTTGATACTCATTATTACTTGCTACTTAGAATCTTTAAGAAACACCACTTTTCTTTGACTAAGAACTGAAAAATGAAATATACTTGAAAACAATAAATGCTTTATTTACCTCACAAACTTGAAACACTGCAATGCTGAAAATGGCAGCAAAGGCAAAAAGGTAGGACATATTGTGTAGATAATCTATGTAGACACTTGATTTCACCTGGATAAAATAAAAAGTATTATTTTAACTACAGTATCATATATATATAAACATAGTTGAAACAATTACACATAATAGAAAGAAAACTAAATTAATACTAAAACAACACAGTAAAATATTTTATTCCTAAATTAACTATTTACATATAGTGGAATTACTTTTAGCAGGGCTTAATTACTTATAATGGTTTCACTGTATGCATCATAAAAGTTAGGAAACAACTGATATATAAAAAAAAATTACAGATGAAATAAGAATTCACTTGGAGAACATAAAGACATTTCACTTTGATTATATAAGTGCCACGTTAATGCATAGTTGACTAGGATATTTATCTTATGGTCAGATTTTCTGCCAAGAGGATACAGAAAAAAGTATCAAATCACTGGGAAAGATGAAAATCATATGCTTTTCTCTCTGTGAGGTTAATGACAACTCATTAACATTTGGTTAGTAATGAAGCAAATAATGAGGCACCAAAACCTGAAAAGATAATTTGGTGACCAAAGGTTAGATTAGTAAAGCTAATGAGCTTATGAAAGGGATAAACATCCACTCAAGATTGTCCTTAGATGTCATTGATCTTGAGCGGAGCCAATCCTCATGTGACAAAGAGTCCTTTGTGTGGAACTGTAATAATGAACATTTTTTATTAGTGAGCAGCATTGTATATCAATAAACTAGATTACATGTAATCAAATTTGTATAAAAGCTTGGGTCAGCCTTCTCTGAGAGTCCACCAAGAGTCTGCAAAAAATTCAATCTGGAAGTTTACCCTACAGCTATATCTGATAACAATCATGCCTAATCTCCTGTGTAAGGTGTATTTTATTTTGTTTGACTTAAAAGTTCTTAATAAACTAAAGCTGAAGAAGTGTTTTATATTTGAAGAGTAAACGTAACTTTGAAGGTTTATTACTGTAAATAGGATAACCCTGAATAAATAGTTCAGTTTTGTTAATACATAATGTCAAATCTGCCCCAGTTCCTTGTTTTCATTTAAATTTTCTTGAGTTGGTGATCAGTGTAAAAACACCATGGACTGCATTCCTTGTATTTCAAATAAATACTGTTTGTAGCAAATAACTATCCTTCGATAGAGCCTGTTACAAATTGACAGATTCAACAGGATTTTTTAAATTAAATGATGAAAGGTTTTGAAAATAAGGAAAGAAATTTAATACAAGTTAGTAATACGTAAAAATAAAAGTAAAGAATTAGATATGGCTATGGATTCTTAGCTTAGGAGTATGCAAATTTTTAAAAAGTTGAGTTTAAAGTTGGGGCATTTTCTATGGGCCCTTGGACATGCATGGAGAATTCTGGGAGAATGTGTATATGTTCTGGCCACCCTATAGTAAGGGACTCCTCATCAAGGAAGATTAACAATAAGTGGAGTGGACAAGTATATTCTTCCACCAGACGGAGTGGAAGGATGAACAGTTTGATTGTGGGGAATTGTACTATATTATAAACTATAAGTGAAAGCAAAGTAAAAAGTAAAATTAATTGAGGGATATACCTTACATAAATGATTATGGTTGCCCTTGCTTTGCATTAAGACAAATAGAGGTAAAAAGGGTTACCTACCCTTATCATGTGTGCGATATGGTACTTTTACATCAGCGAGGTCACATGACTAGTGTCATGCAACGTTTCTAGAACTATCCTGTACCTTGGCGAATGCTCTA